ACAGGAATAAATACTTTCCATTTTAAAAAGATTCCCAGTGACTAGTGTTAGATGTTGAGCTAGTTTTAAGTTAAACAAGAATACGGTATTCAAATCTGTACAACAGCTTAGCATTCAAACAACTTCCTCAGTTCAGACTTAGTATTTATGAAATCTAGCTAACTATTCTGGGGAGATTTTACAGACAGACCCAAGATTAGCTACTTCTGCAATTTCTATTATATCTCCCTTGTGTTTCTCACAAGTGTCATTCTTGTATATGCTCATTAACTTGCAGAGTATTAAATTGCTGCTCACAGACACAACCAACAATCTTAGGCACTGAACACCTGAATCCTTGGACAGAAAGAGCTAAATTTAAAGCAACCCAAGTTTCAGATGCAGGTTCCTCTTCCTCTCTAATAAGTTCATTTAAAAATAAATTCAGTTATGCCTGATAGTCATTAGATAAAACCGAACACAGACAATTAATGATTTGAAAAATTCCGTACAATTCCAAAATAAAGCATTTAAATTCAGGCCTTTTTTTAATTATGTGGTTTGCCCAAGCACAATTGATACTGTCAATCACTTATCTAACCAATTAGTATTTCTAAAGAATGTATTTTGTTTGTTTGCAATCATTTATTATCTAAGCTATAATTTTGCAGCTTCTCAGGCAACAAATGGCTGTCTTGCATCTGGGGAATAAAACACACAGAAGGGTGTTGGTATGCTGTTTGAATACGTGCAATTACTGGTAGTTACATTCTAATTAGCATAATTAGTTTTGAAACAGTTCTCATAATAACTGTCAACATTATGTCAATTTAGCTGAAGTTAATGGCATATTTAACAAAGACACACTTACTCATTTTCAGTATTATGCTATTTAAAAGAAAGAAGGAGTTTGCTTTCTGAAGAAGTAAAATTGCTTTTCATAGACAGTGAACTTTTCTTATTTTGTTTCCTTTCAGCAATCCATCTTATAAAACAGCACTTTATATAATTACCACCCTCCAGCTTCCATAAAACTATTCTTACAAATTAACACTGATAAAGTGGCAATAAAAACCAAGTATACAAAAGTACATATGCTTGCCAATTCAGTCTTCTGCTGTTTTGGGGAAGGCAACAATATATTGGCAGTTGTGGGGGAGAGGGAGAAGTTGGAAAAAAAAAAAACCAAGACGTAAACCTTGAGAAAACTAAAGAGGTAAACAGCATGCTAAAAAATAGCAAATGTTTCTAGTCACATCTAGACAAAACATCCCTTCACTGCTTACAAGGAAAGGGCATAAGCCATTCATAAAGACCAGGTTTAACATTTTTCCACTTGTGATAAGTTACTACATGCTGTTTACAAGCAAACATGTTCCATTATTAAAGCAAGTAAAAATTTAGTCATTTCACTGGCATCTTTCAAGTTTCCAAGAAGAAACAACATGCCTTTCAGGGTCTGCTTAACTTCATACCACAAATATTCATCTTCCACGACAGAAGGAACAGCCAACCTATGCTCAGTACTTGCCATAAAAAAACCCCACAAACAACAAAAACAAACAGAACAGGAGTTTGATATTAGTCCATGACGAAGACAAAGCAAATCTACAGAAGTTTTACCCAATTACTTTGGACAAATTCTTTTCCTTTCATCTACACATTTACTGTCATGTCTCATAAAGGCACCTTACATTCAGGTTTCTACTGGTTTTATGTATGAAGCTATCCAGAAAAAGTTAAAATCAAGAACTTCATTCCATCCATGGCACTCAGACAAAGTAACTCTCAGCCTATAAAATGGTAATTGCTCAGACAGTTTCAGATGCACAATTTTAAGCGCATCAGTGTATTACAATGAAATATTAACATAAATGGCTTTATTTCTGTTTATTTTGAACTACCTTCCCAAAATTCTGCTTGCAGTAATAAAAATGGAGAAGTCAAAACAGTAAGTAGCAATGGTACTTGTAAACACTAGTAGAGTGGCAGGAACAGGAAGAATCAGTCTCAAACTTTGGACACTGAAAGTGACAGCAACTCAAGTTAACTCACAAACCACTTCAGTAGAAAAGAAGCACTCTCAGGGGCCAATTCATCCTACCCTGAAACAGATGCCTGCAATCAGGCAAGATGACCGTCAGCCTATAGGGCAAGGAAGGTCAGATAAGCTAGCTCTACCACAGTTTACCTACACTCCCCCAAAACTCAGCATTAAGCCACACACTCTGAACTGCCTTACAGAACCACTGACTACGGAGAGGAAGAGGCTGACCAGACCAATACTTGACCTGCAAGAACATCCTAAAGTAGAACTGCTCCACACCTCAGCTTCACCTGTCTATTTAGTGTTGCAGACATTCTGTGTCATTTTCTTAATGTTTCTAAGTCCAGTGTCTGCTCGACTGCCACAGAATGTCCACAGAATGCTCCTGCCAGAAGTGGAAGAGTAATAAGACTACCACTTAGCTACCTCTGAATTAAGAGCCCCACAAACCCAATACACTGCCCACTCATTTGAAAATCAGCCTTCCCTATACAAGTTTTTAACCTGCTTATATGGTTCTATACAGAAACTGTATTTTTAAATTGTAGTCCAACTGCTTTTATTACAGGAGTGAATTATGCATAGCTACTGAACGCAATCTAAAGCAACACCTGCAGCCCATTTTTAATCTATATTCTATAACTCACTTAGAAAGCTGTAATTTCCCACAAAAAAGGATTTTCATCTGTGACAAGTAATCAATCTAGGGAAGTTTTTACAAATTATTGACAGAAAAAGGGAAAAGTAAGTCTTTTGTACTCCATTTGCAATGCCACTAAACACTAATATCTATCTTTGAGCTGCTCACTTCTCATTCTTGTCTATATTGGCACATAATCACTGCTCACAGTCAGGTCCATATCAGCTGGGTATCATCCCCAGTGAGAATGATCAGTCCTAGCAGGGGAACTAATAACAGGCTAATAATTTTTCAGATGAGTGAGACATTATATTTAAATTTATTTCAACTCTGTTCACAAGACTGTGAACAGCTACATGGAAATTCTTCATATAAATCTCTTCTACATAAGGCCAAACTCATTCCTAAATACAATTAAAAGCTCCCATTACTAGAGCATTACAACAGGCCTCAAACTCAACTCTG